TAAGCTGATCGGCTTTGCACTTTAGGCTTAAAGAGAGGCAAAATCATGGCTGCTTTTCCAGGAGGAGCTCCTTTCAAAGATCCGGAGGTTCACCTCATCTGCCCCACGCCCAGCACCTCCTTTGCTCCGAGTTTCTCCTGCATAGTGCCACGTTATGGAGCGAAGCTGCCCCAACACAGCACACGTTAGAAGCCCGTGTTGGAGGGGTTAAGGATTGTGAGCGCTTTTAGACTAACAATTACATGTTCAAAGACTTTGAAAACAAGTAGCCACTCTGTAATTCAGCCAAGGAAATGAGTGAAAGAACCCCAAAATTTCACATGAGGAGTCTGGAAACTATTTTTAAAAGAGCATAAGCCTATAATTCATGGGCAAATGAAACACAGAAATGCCATGAAAGTAGGTTTGCAACGAAAAATAAAGTAGTAAGAAAAAAAATCTAATCAAGGGAGAAACATAGAATGAGTGTATTTATCTCAACCTGTTAAAATAGACGTTATTGAAAAAGCTGGGAAATGAGCCACCTAAATGCAAAATACTGGATTTGCCTGAAGAACACTGTGACAGAATAAACCAAGTCATAATACCCACACGAAAGACAGAAATTTTGTGTGTATGTTTTCAAGAGGCCAGAACAAAGCTAACTTTGTCAGAGGGTGAGAGCTTCTGTGATTGTTCCAAAAATAAAAGCCCCATTTATTGTGTCCACCCTGTGCCTGGCACTGTGCCAAGCATCTTACATGTTTTAACCTAGTAAATCCCTATAAAAATCCAGTGTCATATCACACTATTCTTAGGTTTATTTTATAGATGAGGAAATTGAGATTCAGAGAGGTTAAGTAACTCACACAAGGTCACACAGCCAGGAAGTGTTGGAGCAGGGATTTGAAGCCAGGTCTGTTGAATTCTGCACTTTCACCCCAACACACACACACACACACACACACACACACACACACACACACACAGGCTCCATGCCCCAAATTCACCAAGTGTCTTTTCCATTGTTCTCTGAATATAGCCAATTGTTTCAACTTCTCCTCTGGGACCTCTGATGCCTGCCACCCATATGTCAAGGCTCAGCTCAAATGTCATGAAACATAGAAGGCTTTCTCAATGTGCAACCAGCGCTACTCCCCCGTTCTCCTGCCGCAGCCCCGTGGTGGGACCCATCCTCCCCTCTGAGCTGTATGAGGACCAGAATCGTTTCCACCTTAGAAAACCCTGCAGTCCCAGTAGCCAGAAGCTCCTAATTTGAGGAAGACTTGTAGCAATCCTTTGCTAAACAAATAGATAACGAACGGACTCCTCCTTGCTCTGTGCCATCTTATTCGGTACGCCAGCCATTCTCAAAGGGGTGATTTTACCCCCGAGGGGACATTTGGCAGTGTCTGGGGACAATTCAGTTGTCAGAACTCGGGGGGGGGCACTGCATCTAGTGGGTGGAGGCCAACAACGCTGCTTAACATCCTATAGTTCACAGGACCGCCCCTAACAGAGAAGGACCTGGCCCATGATGCCGACAGGACTGAGGCTGGGAAGCCCCAATGTGCGCCTTCTGTCTCAGCGACCCATGCCATGATGGGCTAGGAGTCCCTACAGGCAGGGGCCACTATTACTTTGTCTTTCTAGACCGTGCATCTGACACAATGAATGAATGAATGAACGAATGACCGAATGAAACTCAGTGTGCACACTGGGGTCATGGAAACCACATAAGATCAGGGGATTGAACCGAGGACCTGAGTTTGGAGTTGCTTATTAAAGTGTAGACATGTGTGGCTGTATAGAATTTTTCATGTTGGATTATTGTGATTGGCCCCCAAAAAGCTATGAGGCCAAAAAAAAGACAAATCAAAGCACCCAGCAATGGCTTGGTTTGACAAACACGGCCCTAGAGAACTGTATTCTCATTAGCCCTGTTTGCATCAATGTTACGGTGAGGTTTTTAAGGTCGTTAGAGAAAAATCCCCTGGTTGCTCATAACTATTGGTTTACTGTCTGGGGCTCAGGAGAGAGAGGGTGTTTACTCATCTAAACTCTTACCGATCACACAATTTCACAGTGGCTTGAGTAAATTGTCACATCCAGGTCTTTTCGCATTAAATACAAGTAGAGGTATTTTAGTGGAGAAACAAGAGTTATTCCGGGAAACCCTCCAGAAAAGACTCTTTGGTTATTAGTTAAATGGAAACAGACAAGGAAGAAATATGAATGTCATGACAATGAGAAAGACAGTTCTCAATTAATTGTAACACAATTTACATTTTTCAAAGCGCTTCTAAGTTCAGTATCTTACGTGACATTCATAATGATGCTGGGCAACGAATACTGTCCCCGCTTTATAGAGGAAAATACAGAGGGTCAGAACAGTTGGGCCAAAGGTGTCCCCAAAGTCCATGTGGCAAGAGACTGCACCTGGAGGGAAGGATGGCAGCTGGCTCACGGTCAGAATGGCCTTGGACATCAGGGGCCCCGGGCAGATGGAGCATCCCCCTTCTTGGTGCAGTGAGCACCTCAAGAGCATCTCAGCAGAAACAGCTCGGCCACCCACCCTGCGGGGGACCAGCCAGTGGAAGTGCTGCTTTCCAAGCTCAGTGTTTCCCTGGGTGATATTGAAACAGCCAATCAGAAGAGGACGGGCAATTTATGAAAAGAGATCTGTTAACTATAAACTAAAATGCCAGAGACCACAGAGGAAGGGAAAGTCTTCATGGGCATTTGAGGGCAGCGAAGGCCCAGAGACCTCCGGTGGGCTGACAACAGGCTCCGTCTCCTGGTCGCTGAATTGACTTGAGTGCTGGGGCTTTATTTTCATACTATTTCCTGGGAAGAAAGGGAAACAAAGAGTGGTCTGTTCATCTCGGGTCCATTTTGTCTGTTGTTTTTTGTAATAGTTGGGAATTCCACAAAGAACAGGCAAAGTATGTGTTCACGCCAAAAACGGAATATTCCAAGATTATTGTAAGCTTGTTTTTGGCTGTTTTCAGTTCAGAATTATCAAACCATGCCACAAACTTCCGGTGTTCTAGACAAGAATGATAGAGATGGCTGGAATTTGCATTTTTATACAAAAGAATATAGCCTGATACTTGCTCCCACTTGATGTAGAGATTGATGCAGGCACCCCTGCAAAGATGCATGTGCTTGTGTTTAATGAAACAACTTCAGACTTTGATCTCAACCCATCAGGATGATAATTATAAATGTACTAGGTTTCGTGGTCCCTTTTTATCAAGTATAACGATACCACATAAGCAAAGTAGGAAGTTCTAAAATTAAAACCAGGAGTCATATCCTGGAGAGGCATGGAGAAGTTTCTGGAAGTCGGTAAATGGCCATCTCCGGCCTTCTTGTCTCCCAGTCTTCCTTCAGCCCTTTAGCAGCGCATTTAGTGTGAACTGAGCAGCAGATTAGATAAGGTGGCATTGCCCTTCATCGGCAGATGAACAAGTTCGGCCAGAAAGATGTCCAGAGGGGTTAGGACACAGCTGTAACTCGGGACTTCTGGCTTCTTCCCTGGGCATGGGTCTCCGTCTCCAGCGTTGAAAGGACAGATATTGAACCATATGTCCCTGAATTTAAGAACACAAAACAGTCTTCCATTCCTACTCTTAGTGATTGGGTGCCATTTCCCCCGTGAATGGCAAGGCTGGTATGGCTGTGTTCCCACTAGCACTGTCCGTGGGTTATCCGAGACGGCTGAGATTGGGCGGACCTTGCCTGCCTGTGGTCACGCAGGCCCAGGTGACTGTCGTCCGGATGCCTGTCCAAGGGAGCACCAGCCCGGCCACTGGTGGCGAGGCCTGGTGCCGGGTCAGGCCCACAGGTGTGCCGTAACAAAACCGCTCCGTGCTGGGGATGCAGAGAGACTTGTTGGTGAAGGTCTGCAAACAGGAGGCTGCTGGAGAGAGTGCGCGTGCTTGCTGGTGGGTCAAACTCAGCCAGGTCTTTCTGGGGTAGCTCCTCCACCCCACCTGCAGAACGTGTGCATGAGATGCTCAGGAAGACACGCAGACCTCCCAGGGGGGCTGAGGGAAGTCAGCCCGAGGAAGTGTGCCGAGAGGCTGTGGGAGTCCCCACTCATCACGAGGCCTCATGCGGGATGGCTGGCGGCGAGGCTGGGGCGTAAGAGCCAGGGGGACAGCCCTCACTGACGGAGGCCCCCACGCTGCGGCGAGCTCCTCTTCTCCTTCAGTCTGCTCCTTCCCTTGGTTTCCAAATAAACCTCATTCCCACAGCTTTCTGGAAAGGAGGGCCTGGCCCGAGACACGGTCACATCAGGAATGCCTTTGGGTTCCCTCTCCCTCATGATCTAGAGCCTTCTGTGTCTGTTCCAAGATGGATTAGACGCTCTTGTCCACTGCAGACGTTCATGTCCCATCTTTCGGGCCAGAAACACCTGCTCCCGGTGAGGGGGGTGGGCCTGGGCCCCTGCCCCTCTCCAGGGATCGTGTCAGGAGCGCCGGCCCCTCCCCTTTGCTCCCTCTTGGGAGCCCTGGACAGCCTCCCTCCTCCTCGAAAACGGCCCCCCTGCCCACCTGTCTTCTCAGGAAGTGGCTCCCATGTGACGTAAATTACAAGATATTCACCCATTGTTCCTGGGCTTGAGTTTTAAGAGTTGTGAAACGTGTGTGTAAATATATAAATGTACACATCTAACTGTGAATCTCTGTCTTCACCGTTGTGAGAGAGGGCTGGAAGTCACAGCACAGCATCCTCCGGTCGGGGGGAGAGGCTGTGGAAGCCCCACTTTGCCCCAGGAACACCCTGCCGTCTCTGCGGATGGCAGATGCTCTCCTGGGACAGCCGGCTCTCCCTCCCAGGCCATAGGGAGTGGGGGGGTGTGGGGGGGTGAGGAGCAGGTGCTTCCCAGCCCCCCGGAATGAGGCGTCTGAGGAAGCCGGGCTGCACCCCTCCCTCCCCACCAGCCTGCGCCCCTGCTCTATTGGTGCCATCTAGGGGGCTTCTGACCTGGTTTGTCTTTCCCTCTCCCGCAGGGGCGGATCTGTAGAAAGGCAGGCAAATCAAAAAAGTCCTTCAGCCGCAAGGAAGCCGAAGCTACCTTCAAGAGTTTGGTGAAGACGCATGAAAAGTACGGCTGGGTCACCCCGCCCGTGTCTGATGGCTGATGTGCTCGACGTGCGGGAGACGCTCCAGCCACCTGTCCACACACATGAGTTCCCGACATCTCCTCCTCAACGCCGAGCATCCTCACCCTTTTCTACTCCAGCCGGAACTGAATCCTGAATGCCAAGGAGACGTTTAAGTTATTTATGAACAGATGTGTTTACAGGGAGAACGAGGGAGCCAACGCTGTTCGGGATTAGGTTTCGACTGTAAATGAGCGGCCATCTCGAAGTCACTTTAGAACCAGTGTTGAGATGGTGACATTCCCCAGCCCGCCTGCCCCTCCGCCTGCCCCCTCACACTGCCCTTGGCTTCTTCCCAGACCACAGCTCCAAAGAGCAGGCAGGAGCCCCAGGGCCTGCTGCTCGACCCACTTACTGTGCACGGCACGTTCCCGTGTACTAGGAACACCCTGCATTGCTGTGTCCTTTGTCTCTGTTTCTCTTCCGGGCAGGTCGACATAACCTGGAGACGTGTCTTTCTGTGGCCCCGTGTGACAACATGTAGACCTCATTCGTGCTATGACCTTTGGCTCCTGAAAACACAAATTTCACATTGCCAGGTTCTTGTAATTTAGAACAGCAACTGCCCCCTTCGTGAAAATGTGCTCCGTCGGCCGGCGCGGCGGCAAGCCACTGTCCCCCGGCGAGGCAGGGCCCGGGGACGGACAGCAGGGCTGCTGGGGCCGCCGTGGGCTCCCCGGGGCTCCGCGGTGGGACAGCCTCCTCGGTATTCTGGAACGCTCCGACGACACCACATCCGTGTTCCTGTCTCCTCCCAGCTGGTCAACCCACCACCACGAGCAAGAGACAATTTCCCGTTCCCTGAAATCATCGGACTCATTTTAGTCTCCAAGCTAGTGACAGGGAATGCCAGGACTGCCAAAGGACACCAAGTGATGGTCCGAGGGCTTGCATGACCGGGTCTGTTCCTCACCTTCCTGTCACTTGTGTGCCCCGGGGGCTGGGCTGCGTGATGCGTGAGCACCCTCGCCATGATAGCAACTCCCCGTTATTCCATCGCCCACACTTTCATTTTTCTCTTCTCTTAAGTTACTTAGAACTTTCTAAGAAACTCCATGAAGTGAGGAAACACTGTTTATAACAATACATGGGAAGAGGTAAAATGTTCATCCCAGGTGGAAAACCTTATTGGATGCATTTTAAATAAAATCATGCATACCTGACACAATGCCTCAAGAATCCAATCATTGGGGGCTAGCCTTCCCTTTAAAACATTTCATCTGTCTTTAGAATTTAATATTCCAAATACCGCGATGACATTCTCCAGCAAGTTACAAAAAAATGGGTCTTAGGAACCCATGCTCTTTGCAAAACTCCAGTGTGTTAACATGGTCCCCAGAAGCAACCCAGGAGGCCATCAGAAGTTAACAGTAAGTGTGAATGGTTGATTTGGCCAAACTTGGATGTTGCTGATTATATTTTCCCACTACAAGGGAAAAGAAATCTTTGCTGATTACATACAATTCTTTGGGCAGTTTGGACTAACTCAGGGACCTGTTCACTTGTCCAGGGTTGCCAGAGGTCCAAGAGACCTGGCCTCAGAGGACAGGGGTCAGCTGCCAGCACAACCAGCCATTCACCAAATCTACCCTTTCCCGCTGCTTTTATTTATATTTTTTAACACTCTCTCAAATGCCCCTAATTCACACGTAGCTCTGTCCAGACAAGAAGGCAGTGTATTGAGGATGCGTGGCTGCCTGCTCACATTCCCTCTGAGTAATAATAGTTACGAAATTCGATGACACTCCTTCATGCGATCCTCCCAAGTGGAAACCTGACATTTAGCGCATGGTCTTGGGCCCTCAGGCTACTTGTTGTCATGGGATTACTCTGTAGGTTCCCAAGATACAGGACAGAAGCAGCTTGCTGGGGAAAGCACCTGAGCTTTTTTCTTTCCAGATGTTTCCCTCTCCTGATGCAAAATGTAAAGCAACTTTCTTTTAAGAACCATATGGATGCATTTGGATATACAGAGAGTATACAACGTGTATATAACCATATGCAGCGTATCTCCAGAGCCAGCCGCTTCCAGGCTGGCTGCTAGCTGATTAGAGAACGTGTCCACCGCAGTGTCTGGGTTATGCCCCACCTTAGGGGCAGCCAGGAGGCTCGTGACTCCTTGAGGGTGGGCTCGGTCGCTGCCAACAGCGGCGGCGGGGAGACACCCGGCCCAATCTCAAGGCCCCCGCACACCCTGAATTTGATTTCTTTTGCATGTGACTTCCATTAGGTTTGTCAGGCGCTGGAAGCTGTAAAAGAAATATTCTTCAGTGAAAGAAGTGCCATTTTTCACTTAAATGGTAAGTTTTTCTCATTTTCAAAGCAGTGGAGAATAGTTGAAAATGCGACTATTGCTTTGACTCTCTGAGCTGGAAGAACTCCCTTTTCAGCATCGTCAGCAAACAGGGGAGCCTGGCCGTGGCCGTGCCCCGCTGACCCCGCATGAGGGGCCTGCCTGCCTCGGAGCCCAGGGTGGGAGGGAGGCTTGCTGCAGACCCAGCAAGCGCCTAGCGGGGGTCTCCTTTCCACATAGGCCGAGAGCGCCATCCTTCTTCAGACAGACAGCTGGGGGACGATTGGACGGGGCTGCAGACATTCATGTCCTCCAGAGGCTACAGAGCCAGAGGGAGGAAAAAGCCATGCATGCTTCTCCTGCGCACCCGGAGGATTTCCCGGGCCTCCTGCAGCCGTCCTCAGGTGTCCCCTCCACTGCAGTCCACGGGCTGTTCAAGTTCTACGTGTGCAACAAGATGATTGGCCCGGTCCCCCCCACACACACACATACACGCACACGCACACACGACACACAGGAAGACTCACAGTCTCTAAAATCCATTACTCAGGAAAAATAAAAAGAGGGTTTAGGCCCCAGTGTTTTAGCTCCCAAGTTCACTCCGTCTATCAAAATTCAACCTTATTTCTTGAGAGGGAGATCTGAGGACTAGTGACAAAGACCCGATAGAAGGACAGTTGCCCTCCGTGTCTGTGTGACTCAGCAGGTAAGTCCACCTGCTCAAGCCCTGGTTTCTTGGCCTGTAAACTCCTATGGGATTCGTGTGAGAACTGACCTAAGCCGTGAGGGAAAGTGCTTGGGAAATCCAGAAATTGTCACATGAACTTTGTGTGTCACTTTTCCAGTATGGGGAACTCTATGTTAAACAACGGGCTTTAATTAGAACACATTTAAATAAAGGCTCCAATTGAATAATTACAATGATTCAAATAGAATTAACTTGCGATCATATACTGGTGTTCTGTCCCCAGTCTTCTGTAAGTCAGTCAACCAAACTTACTGGCCATCTCACCACTCACTCTGACATAGGGAAGGGACAAGTTTTAGACATGCCTCCTTCCCTAGAGGAACTTAAAAGACAAGAATAACACACAGGAGAGGCTCCTGGGGGCTCAGTCGGTGAAGCGTGTGCCTTCGGCTCAGGTCATGATCTCAGAGTCCTGGGACTGAGTCCAGTGTTGGGCTCCCTTCTCAGCGGGGAGCCTGCTTCTCCCTCTCCCTCTGTGGCTCCCCCTACTGTGCGCTCTCTCTGTCAAATAAATAGATAAAATCTTAAAAAAAAAAAAAAAAAAGAATAACAGGAGCCACCAACAAATGAGTGGAGACCTGAGGCAGCTAACTGCTACACTGCACTGCAGACCTTGTAGACTTTGTCCGAGCCCAGAGGTTCCCTGAAGGTGGTCAGGCCAGACTCCATGGAGAAGTCAGGGCTGAGGGATGGCTGAGCAAGAGGCAAGAAGGGCAGGTATAGAAGTGAAGGAGGGCCGGGGATGCCCTTGTAGGGGACACGATGTTCGTCCCCACTGGCCCTGGCAGGGACGCCTGGGCAGCTCCTTGCCACTCTCACTTGCGGGGGCCTCTCTATAGATCTGATTTCAGGAGGCAAGGCACATGCTAAACTTACAGCCTAACCTGGCATGTGGGTCTGGCCCCGTCTCTAGAATTATATTTCAGTGTTTTATCTGAACCCTTCTAACAGCATGCAAAATTTTAATGGAATTTGCTTTCTAGAGGGGCAGAACTGGCTTCCCAAGTGCAGTGAGGGTTGAACCACGGAATCTGGGAGGTCACTTAGTCTACCTTCAGACACTCTGCAGGGGAGGAAACAAGCCCAGATGGGTTCAGTGGCATTTCCAAAGTCGACTGGAGGGGTGAAGCCAAGGCAACGCTCTTGCTGGTGCTTCCTGATCTTCCGTGATACTCCCCATGGACCATGAGGCAATTCACATGGCCCACATTCAAGAGCACACTTCTGAGCTCACCGTTGGGTTGACCTTGAGCCACAGGCCTTCCCAGCTAGTTGGGAAGCACCCAGAGTGATGATCCATTACACAACAAAACCAAGTTGGTGAGAAGGCAGTTTGCACATCCAAGTGCTCTAGGGAGCTATGGCTTGGAGCTCAGCCCGTGGGATCATAATCAATACTCCTTCCCTCCAAAAACATTAATATAATATGCAGTTTTCCTTAGCTTTATGTTATGCTTTACCTTATCTTTGTGATTTTTGCAACCTCCAGTTTACATAGTACAGAGTATCACTCAAGCCCAGGATCCATCTGACCCACAGGATGTGGCCAACAAACTGGAAAGGCCAAACAAACACCGTTGGCCTCCAGGGAGGCAATAAACGATATTCTCTTGGTTCCAGAAAAAACAGAGGAAAGAAGTATGCTGGCAAAGAGACATAATCAAGGCAGAGTACTGGAATAGAGTGTAGAGACAAAGGGAAGCAAGGTTTAGTTTCAAGGTCATAACAGGGCTAGACAAACAGCAGAGTGCCCGGGGGAGGGAGTCAGGTTCCAAGGTAATCCTCTTGGGTCAGTAAGGCGGTATGTGTTGAGAGAGTAAATATCTGCACTGCTTCCCACTGCAGACTGACCCTGTTTCTCCTACAGAGGGTGCTTACTCCTTTCTTTCACTGGTAAATTAAGTGGCCGTCTGCTTTGTAGACATGCATTCACTTTATATCGATAGATCTTGGTGATGTCAATAACTGAGCAACAATAGAACC